GAACATTAGTCCAACCCCTCTGGCTTCTCTCCAGTCTCTCGCAATGGCCCAAAGTGTTTCCTTTCACAAAAAATCCCAACCTTTGGATTTTCCTTCTTCTCCACTTCGCCAGTGGAAACAGAGGAGAGGGAAAAAAAATGGAAAAATCCCCATGCCCTCAAACAATGATTTAAAAGGATTTGAAATAAAAAGTGGATACTTTTTTTCAACAAAACCTTCCCACTGTTTTCCAACCTCCCCTGCTTTGAGCTCAATCTAGCTTTATCATTATTATTGCCGGGTCTGGTTCTGTTCTCCCTTCCAGCAGCCTAAATTAAGAATGACGGTAGCCCTGTTAAAAGCTGAGTCTGGTGCTAGTTGAACCTTAAGTACCACCAAGCAGCCATCAGCACAAAGCTCAAAGAGGTGATACAAAGCCCGTCTCTGGAGTCTAGGACTGCTACATGCAGCATCACTGAGAAGCCAAAACTGCAGCCCAGGATCAAAGCAGCATAGCAACATCCTAGCCTACGGCCACAACAGGGTAAAACAGATGATGTGCCTCCTATGTACAGATTAGCCAGTGCTGGGGTGATCTTCCTTAGACAGAATTACTTTGAATTTAGGACCAGCAACCCCATGCAAATCCCCAGAGAACCCAGCCTTTGGTTCAAGGGCTGTGGGAAACACAGTGGTATAAGATGCATGCTCAGAAGCGAGCCAGGTCTGCAGTAGCATGCAACGGGAGCTTGGCATAGTGAAGGAGGGGTCCACGTGCTACCTTCTCCACACCCGTCCAAGCTCCCAGGGCTGGATCTCCCAGGGCTGATCTCCAGAGCTTGTCAGAGCAGGCCTGAGAGCTGCTGCAACTACTGTCAGCTGCCAATAGCCCCAAGAGTCTGCAGTGGAGAAGTGCCAGGGATTAGGGCACCCCTTGCTACACCCTGACAGTAAACATGCCAACCACACCTCCTCCTCCAGCCAAAGGACAGGGGTGGTGTACAAGCCTTTGGGCCAGCTTTCACCACCCAGGGTGTCCCTGTTTTTAAGTGCTGTTTTGCAATGGTAATCAGGACTGGTAGTAGTGATGATATCTTTTATTAGACCAACAAGATTTTTGCAAAAAAATATTCTTTAATTGCAAGCTTTCAGGCACAAACACCCTTCATCAGGCATCAGAGAAAAGATTGTAGAAGTTCTCCTGGGTAGATGGAAAAGTTCATATTTCATAGGGTTTCACAGAGGAGTCAATCTATGGAAAACTCCTCTGGGCAGTCAGTTCATAGCTGGTATGAAGCCTCTCACCTCCTGCGAAGATATGTGATGGTGCAAATTACCTTAAAACAAAGGCAGGAGCAGGAGCTCAGGCTTCAGGTGGTGACAGTTGCTTTCTGCCTGGTAAAATATGAACCCTATAAAATATGAACTTTCATTTCTACCCAGGAGAACTTCTACAAGCTTTTCTCCAATGCCCAATGAAAGGTGTTTGTGCCCAAAAGCTTGCAATGAAAGAATTTTTTTTTCAAATATCTTGTCGGTCTAATAAAAGATATCACCTCTACTACGAGTCCGGATTGCCTTTTCCTCTAGACCAACACGGCTATAACCTGGATCCGCTTTGCAATGATAGAACTGAGCGGCAGTTTTTCAGTGTACAGTACAGTATAGGATATATTGGTATTAAAAACACAGAGACATCCAACATAAGCCCCCAATTCCTGTTTCCGAATGGAAAAACGCCAATCTCTCTCCCTCTCCTCCTGTTTGTCTCATTCACCTCCTGTCTTTGCCTTCTAGCCCAGGGCAGGAACTACCACTGATCTGTCCGCACAGCACCTAACTTGGTGGGGCCTACCCAGGCTGACCTCTCGGGGGTGTTGCAGCATCAACATTGAGCATCCTCACCATCCAAGATCAACACAGAAATTGCAGGGAAGGGAACTCCCTAGTCCTGTCTGAGTCTCTCCAAGTGCTCCCCAGCTCCCTGTGAGGCACGGCAGGCAATATAATGCCAGTTTGTAAACCATTTATATAAGCCACCAAAGAAATAAACAGCAACAAAGCTCGAAGGAGGTTGCTGATCTTTGCTGGAACCAGCGAGAAAGCAGCAAAGAGCCAAAGCCAGCCCCAGTTCCAATAGACCCGCATTGCTGTCTGTGGAAATTTGGGGGGGCACAGCTGAAAGGGGCTGGCTGGCTGATTTATTACCCTGATCCTGAAGCTGTGAGCACATGAGTTTTAAATCAGAAAGGGAAATGTTGAAATCACAAGTTTGCAGTGGGGGCTGGGGAGAGTTTATTGAAGAGAGAGGGGGAAAAAAAAAGGCAAGGACTTCAGGCTCACCTGGCCTTTTGAATTCAGCCTTCATGGATTTTAAACGCGGAGCAGAGCCTGGATTGCAGCGCTCAAAATGGAACGAGGCCAGGGTGCCGTTCCCTCCCGGAGCAGTCAATAGCAGAGCTGACCTCCTGTACTCCTGTAAGCACAGATAATGGCTAGCAAGGAGACAGCCAGGGAAAGCAAAAGCCCAGGCCTGCTAAGGGGGAGACGATGCTGGGGAAACAATGACTAGACATTTTACATTAGGAATATGCCTGCGGTGGCAAAAAGCACGCATAATCTTAATGAAACGGCCGGGAAAACAAAAGCATTGCCCATTTATTCTCTGCCACGCTGCGTCCCTGCCTCCCAGGTCTTTATTTTCTCTCTCTCTCTTCCCCCATCTCTCTTTTAAGTCAATCCTGCCTATGAAAAGGTAGGTTGGGGGAAAGCTGGAAGGAAACCAGCGGTGGTGCGAAAGTGGCACTTGCTCCGGGGACCGATAGCTGAAATGCTCATAACCTGATTTGCGAGAGTCGTAAGGGGCAAAACATTTCCAGGGTCTAGAGAGCATTTTTGTCACAGGGAAAGAGCAGCCTGGCTGCACTTTCTGATCTGGGCTCCATATAGCCTCTCACGCACCACAGCAAAGCTGGCTGGGTCTGGGAGGACTGTGGCAGTGCAAGCAGTCTGTGTTTATTTGCTATTTTCAGTGTAGGTTTGTGGCAAAGAGAAAGTGGATTTGTCTCAGTCCTAGGAGCTGAGACCCAAGTTCAGGGCAACGCAGAACAATAAGCCTTCAGGAGATGATCTAGTCCTGTACCCTGCCCCAGGCAGGATTACCTCTGTCTGAACCATCCCAGGCCGTGTTGGTCTACCCTGCACTTAAATGCTTCCAATGATGGATATTTCAGATCTTCCATTATGATCCGTATCATATACCCACTGCTCTTCATCTGACAATATTTCTAACTGAATCGTGCTAGGCACTATATAGACTTGTACTGAGAGCCAGTCTCTGCCCTGAACAGCTTGTAACCAAATAGGCAAGAAAGACCACAGGTGAGGGGCAGGGAAAGAAAGGCTCAGGGTTTGGGATGGGATTTGCCCCTGGTTACTCAGATGGTCACTGGCTCAGCTACCTGTCCTGACTTCCAGGGCACTGGGACTGTGCTCTGCACTCCAGTTATGGCCCTACTGTTCCTGTGCTGGGTGGCCGTCACATAACTGCAGTGCAAGTGCTCGACGCCTCTGAAAAGCAGGCTGCTTACCCAGGTGCCTAACTCTGGATGAAACGTCTCAGCCAGGGCATCCACCTTTGAAAACAACACCTCTCTGCCTCATTGCTCCTTCTGCAAAACGGAGTACCGATGCCTACGATGACAAGCTGGGGCTAGTGCTGGGACTGCAGCGTAATCATCATCAGCCTGTTTCCTGCTGCTCATTTCAGCCGCCTGTTGTCTCTCGTTCTCTGTGCACGCTTATAGGTCCGTGCTTAACTTTATGCGCCTGACAGTCCTTTGGAAGTCAACTGGACTAGATCGACATAAATGATGCCAGCTATCAGCAGGCCTTTCCCATCTAGGGCTGCCCCTGTAAACCTTCTAGCTCCAGAATTGACAAGTGTGTTTGTGGGCATTGGATACAACCTGGTTCCTCACATGCATGAAGTTGAGTGTATGAGTAAATGTCTGCAGAAGCATGACTTTAAAATGCAACCTCTTCAGGGCTGGTATTTCAGACCTAGCCCATCCTGTTTGGTTTCTATCCAGCCAGAGTCCAATGGTAACCAGTTCAGGGGGATGAGCTTCCTCCTCTTTAGGAGGTCCCCATCTCCTCTAGTCATCCACCAGCTGCCTCCACTGCACCCGACTTAGGTGTCAGCCTTTCCTCAGTCTCCATGGGCTATTAGTCTGCCTAGAAGAGCCTATGCCTGACAATGCTACAACCGAGCCCCTGCTGTAACCCTCGCCCAGCACCTTCGTCTCACCTGGACTATTGTGACAAAATGTTCTTTGCTTTTAGAAAAGTGAGGCAGGGGAACAGACTGCCTAGGAAAGCTATGGACTCGCCATCACTGGAGGTTTTCAAGAAGAGCCAGCCCTGGCTGCAATGATCTAGTCGGGGATGGTCCTGCTTTGAGCAAGGGGCTGGACTAGTCCAGTGGTTCCCACCCTTTTTTGGACCAGGACCCATTTGTAAACATCGATG